TTTGTCGAATTTCTTTTGCATTGTTTTAAATAAGGTCTTGTGTAGGCAATTGTACTGCATGAAAGTAATGCCTCCATTTTCAGGAAGCGATTTGGGGAGCAAAACTCTTCAGAAGCATGTTATTTTCAGAAAAGTGCCTCATAAAATATTTTTATAAAGTAGGAGTTGAAATCATTTAAAAATCACTCTCTTTTATAAATCTGTTTGGAGAAAGATCTTTTGATCCCCTCTTTCTTCTGATCCTTAGCTTTTATTTTGCTTAGAGGTAAACAACATTTGCCTCATTTAAACAACGGCATTTGCCATTGCGGTTCTTAAATAGTTTTCCAGCCACCCTATGGCAATTCATCACATGGGATAAAATAAGGATACTTTGCATCCAAGACTTTTATCACCTCCCAGAAAATGTTTGTTGTTTTTTGCTTCAGTGTTTTTTTCTTCTCTCTCTCTCCCGCCCCCACCCCCACCCCGAGCTGCGGGGGATTGTTTTAGGACATTTCAAAGCCTTTTGTGAAGAGGCAACTGAAGTCCTTCTGCGGAGAAAAAGAAATGCGTGATTACATGCACTGCAAAACGGGAGATATTTCCAAATTCCCTTTTAATTAAGATGTCTAAGTAGCCATTTCCTTGGAGAGAGACATTTCCAAGCAGTTTAAAAATAAGGATGCTTAACTGCTGCAGACATTCTGCCCTCTCTGACCCTGTAGGCGAGGGGCTGTCACCTGGGGAGCTGGTAAATGGACATTCATTCCTATAACTCCATAAAGGTCAGATGGGGAGGGGCACCCAAAACGGAGGTCGGGATGCGGAGGTAATCATAGGACCATGGGCTTCTATTAAGAGAAATTCGCTCCTCTGGTTAACCAGGTCATTTCTGAAAGTGCGTACACCTTTGTCATTTTTCAAAATCACTCAGCGATGACTGGTTTGGTGCTATTTGATTCTCTGACCATCCAAGCCAGATTAAGAGCATTTGCGAAGGCCCTAAGGACTTCATAGCTGGCCACCCATCTGGTGTTAGGCTTGAGTCTGTGAAAATCCCTCAGCTTAGCACTGAATATTCTTTTTAAAGACGTTTAAGTAAAAGGGCTGACATTAGCATATGTTCCCCCCAAGTGTCCTGTTGAACTTTCTGCTGGGCATCACCCTACCACGGGCTTTCTGGATGTTGTCCAATGAGAGATTGGCTTGGAACTGTAAAATTAGCCATCTGCCTATTAAAAATGTAACCAGCTGCATCCGATGAAACACAGTGACTATTGAAATGAACTCATCCGGGAGAGAACTCGAGTCCCCTGCTTGGACATTTTTCCAATCTACTGCTAGACTGAGACACTCCACAAGCAAAGAGCCTTTCGTCCTTGTTTGGAGGAAAACGGCATGACTCTCAAGAATGAAGAAGACTTGCGTGTTTGTTTTGTTGCTAAAATTCTGGCATTTCTCGGGATGAGTTGTACTTGGAGTGCAGAATTCTCAATTTGTCTGCCATTTGTTTAAAACACTCTCTGTTGCAAGAAAAATAAAATATAAAATAAATAAGCACACCCCTGCTATCTCCCTCACTTCAAGATGTTATGTTAAATCCTGGGCACGTCTAATAAACCTTAATCCCCAAGCCTAAAATACCCTAAGCAGCACAAAGTAACTTAAAACAGAGCTGGAGCCATAATTATTCCTGCAAGCACTACCATTTCACCAGATATTAGGCATTCTACATTTACCACAAGGTCTGTTTATTAAAAATGAGAACTTCCAATAGCTTGCGCTATTTTTTTTTCCTAAAGCCTAATGGAGCATTAAAAAATAATTCATTAACTAATTAACAAAACTGTGTTTATTTACAGTATATAAAATGTTTCTATCAGGAAAATAACACACCATAATACAGCGTTGTGTTGACAGCAAAACATCTGCAGCTTAATTTAATGCATTTACTAAATGACGAGGGGAATCAAAGGATGTTTAAACAGCTACTTCTCTGCCTGTGATTTGTGTTTCTCTTCAGAGGTCACAGGCACCAAGAAAAGATGCCCCTTGGGAAGCCGGAGCTATTTTCAAAGGTGCTCAATACAAAAATCTTTATGCAATTAAGGAAAGACCGGTCTGCACATGGCTTGGACTCCGAGCCAGTTATCACAGATGGGTCCGTGCAAATGTCCTAAATCTAACTGCTTGGAAGTCACTAAGTGCTGTTAGGTTGAACCATATGAAGATGTCGTTTTTATAGGTCAAAATCTGTCGAATATTGACAGCTTTATTACATTCCATCTGATATTTCCCATTTGGACTCCCTTCCCTACCATCCTTCCATTCTCTCTTCTTTCTTCCCTTCCTTCCTTGCTTCCCTCCTCCCTCTTTTTTCTCTTTCTCTTTTCTGGCTTCCCTTCCTCTTTTCTCTTTCTTTCTCTGTCTCCTCTCCCTCTCTCTCCTCTTCTTTCTTATATTGTCTTGGGCAGGATTTTTGCAAACATAAAAAATTAGACTCAAGTCAGTATGAATTGATAAACTTGCCTATTAGATTATTCTATTTTAAAACACGTTTTTCTAGGCTCATTTTTCCACTAAATCTCTCCTCTACTCCTGCCTGAAACTTCTCAGAAGGCAAAGAGTTTTTGTTTGATTGTAGGTCTGATTTTCTTATCGCCACCCTAACATGAAATTCCAAGAAAATTGTATGTGTTGTGGTAGTAATCACGTTATATGCAATTCAGGTAGATATATAAATCAAAATCTCTCAGAAGAAAAGATTATAGTTTGGTTAAAAAAAAAAATCAGCAATAATAGAGGCAAAAGTGATGTTTTAAGAATTTCTCTTTTGTTCACTTAGACCTAAAGCCTAGAGTGATCTTAGGAATTACAAAATGAACTAGAAAAAAACATCATTTTCTCCTTAACAACCAAGTATATTCTTAACATCTACCTTTGCTGTAATGGTGCACTAATAATAAAATTTCAGCTCGGCAACTCAGAGGCCATCCATGCTGCTTTCTACAGTAGAACCCTGGCTGTGTAACCGCCATAAGGACATTTCGTATAGTAATTTCACCTGTTTCAGACACAAACACATTTTAAGCCTCTTAAGCTACATAGAACAAATAGGTTATATCTTGAAAACTAGAGTACTGTTTAAAATTAGATTTTTATAAAAGTCTAGTTCAGCAAATTGTACTAACTGAACAGAATTGTTTTAACTATGTCCCTCTGGATTTTTACGTGGGGAGTCTATTCACTCACAGTACTAATATCTGTTGTATAGTTGCAATCATGCATTGCTTAACTATGGGGGGGTTATGTTCTGAGAAATTTGCTGTTAGGCTCTCTCGTCTGCAAACATTGCAGAGTGTACTTACACAAACCTAGATAGTATAGCCTATTACACACCTAAGCTATATAATATGGTCTATTGCTTCTAGGCTTCGAACCTGTACGGCACGTTACTGTGTTGAATACCATAGGCAGTTGTGACACAATAGTATTTGTAACTCTAAACACAACTAAACATAGAAAAAATACAGTAAAAATGCAGAATTATAATCTTATGGGACCACCACCATATATTTTGTCCACCATTGACCAGAATATCATTACACAGTGCATGACTGTCTATGAATGTGGTTATATTGTTCTGCTGTGGGTTGAGCATGGACATTGGTTTGGTTCTCTGTATGGAGGCACTGTGAGGGAACCATCCATGCAAACTCATTACCTTTCCCCCTCCACCAGCTCCAAATCTTAAGGCCACTGTTAAAGTCGGACACCAATATCTGTAACCTTGCATCAGAGTTCTTTTTTGACCAGGGATAGAAATCACTTAGCAAATGTGCTACCACTAACCCTGCCTGTGACCTCTGCAGACATCACTAGTGGATTATAGCAGTCTTCCTCACTGACCCCAGGCAAAGCCTCAGAAGGCTTCTCTAAACACATAGTACAAATCAATCAGAGTTGGCTAAACAGATGAAAACTCTTAGCTGAAACTAACAGAGCCACATGGAGATCAAATCAAGGACCTTAAAACAACAGGATAAATTGTTTCACCACCAGTTTGTCCAGTGTGGCCTCAATTAACTGTATCCTAACTGATCATCTTTAATTAAACAGATTTGTTTGTCTTTTAGCTACACTTTATCTATAAGACAAAGAGATACACATTATTTTCTTTAAAAGCACATATCAAGGGATTACTGGGGCCTATAACCTTCCAGGCTATTTTCTGTAGTTAGTCAGGTCACAACTAACCTCATCTCTTATTCCATCCGCACTAATCCCTACAGGCGTGGACAGTGCAAAATGTTGTTTAGACTGACAACCTAAAGCAGATTTGTTTTTCTCAACTATACTTCTTATAGACTCAGACATTTCCCAAAATAAGTAAAGAAAAAAATATACTCAAAGAATAAAAACTAATACCAGGAAAGATTTCCTGGAAGGATTCACACCCCTGATTTCATTTGCATTTTGAACCGTGGAGATAATGTTCTAATCAGTGATGAGTGAGTGCACATTCCTGCATAGGGCCTTCTATGGCTCCCATTACCCACAAAATAGCCCACTCACTTTTCTGTGTAAAAGGCAAAGTGCTTTGTGGATCCGTATCTCATGCAGTCTTAGGCCTCCACCCCCAACCCCATTCTATATTCAACCTCTGTAAATTATTTACCTACATTGTTTTCTCAGTCCCCTGTACCCTTGCATGGACTGTATTTCCTGCCAGGCATATGCTATTTTCTCTGCCTGGTTAACTTTTTTCTTTTTGTGAGAGGAGTCTCACTCTGTCACCCAGGCTGAAGTTCAGTGGCGCGATCTTGGCTTACTGCAACCTCTGTCTCCTGGATTCAAGTGATTCTTGCAGCTCAGCCTCCCGATAGCTGGGATTACAGGTGAATGGCACTATGTCTGGCTAATTTTTATATTTTTAGTAGAGACGAGGTTTCACCATGTTGATTGGCTAGGCTGGTCTCGAACTCCTGACCTCAGATGATCTGCTCGACTCAGCCTCCCAAAGTGCTACGATTATAGGCGTGAGCCACAGCACCCCGCCTGCCTGGTTAACGTCTACTTATCCTTCATTCCTCATATCCCTCAAGACTCGGTTCATATATCAACTTCCATTTGTGCCTGAGCATGTGGAGTCCAATGCAGGTAGAGTCCAATGCTCTCTTCCCTAAATATAATTGTGTAATTTGCTTCCTCCTCCTCCTCCTCCTCCTCCTCCTCTTCCTCCTCTTCCTCTTCTTCCTCTTCCTCTTCTTCCTCTTCTTCTTTTTCCTCTTCTTCTTTTCTTCTTCTTCTTCCTCTTCTTCCTCTTCTTCCTCTTCTCCCTCTTCCTCTCCTTCTCCTTCTCCTTCTCCTTCTCCTTCTCCTTCTCCTTCTCCTTCTTCTTTTTTAATACAGGCAATCACTCTGTCCCCAAAGCTGAAAGGCAGTGGTGAGATAATCAGCTCACAGCCACCTTTGCCTCCTCGATTCAAGAGAATCTCTTGCCTCAGCCTCCCGAGTAGCTGGGATTACAGGCGTGTGTCACCGCAGCCAGCTAATTTTTGTATTTTTATTAGAGACAGGGTTTCACCATGTTGCCCAGTATGGTCTTGAATTCCTAGTCTCAAGTGATCCTTCCTCCTTGTCCTCCGAAAGCGCTGGGATTACAGGTGTGAGCCACTGCACCCAGCCTGTGTGATTTATTTCTGAAGCAGACTGGTTAAGAGCCCAGACCCTTTAGCAAGATTCCTCAGTCTACAATGCTAGCTGCCCTCTTGCTAGTTAGGAGTCTTCCGGCAAGTGCTTTCACCTCTCTATGACTTGGTTTTTCATCTGTAAAATGGACACAGTAGTAACTAACTAAAGATTAAGACCAGATACGTATGCAATATGCTCAGAATGGCAAATAGCATCAATACCTGTTAGCTATTATTTTCTATGATAGCTTTCAATTCCCACGTCTGTGAATCCCCCACTGAACACATGGAGCTTACTCTCTTCATCCTGTACTCCCAGTTTTTGCCTGGGGCCTGACATGGTGTAAGCACTCAAGGAAGGTTTGCTGGCACTTGTTAAAATGAAGAATAAGAGAATTGGCAAAGTAAAGAAAATGTGAATGGTGTTAGGAGTAATGGAAATATATACTAATATAAGGATTGACAAACAAAAAAAATAGAGAACCCATATCTTCTACTAATAAGTATACTTTATAAAAAGGTAGTTGAAAATACAAGCTTCTTATATATTAATGTTAGGCTTACATGTAGCCACTCATCAAGGGAAAGTAGAGAATTATCACATTTGTAGGAACAAAAACCTCACTGGGCTATTTTCCACCTCCATGGTGTGAATAAGAGGTCCCATGAAACATGATGCTAAATATATGGTCTTTTTTCAATCTATCCGCTGATAACCAAAAATCCAAACAAGCTTATGCCAAGCAGGAAAAGAGGGTGGGTGTGAATGAGCCGTCGTAAGGTCCAGGTCTCTGGAGCTGGAGGATAAATGTCCTCTTTAGGGTATATGTCCCCCACTAATGCACACAGCCTCTAGAGCCAGATTACCTGGGTTTGAGTCTCAGCCATGACATTTACCAGCTGGGTGACCCCAGGCCAGGCACGTCCCCTTTTTGTCTTCAGTTACCTTGCCTGTAAAATAAGGGATAATGTGGGCATGACCTCATAGGGTTGTTGTGAAGTGAAATGAGATAATCCTCGTAAATCCCTAAGCACTGCACCTGGCACAAACATGCACTTCATAAATGTATGCGGTCATGATTACCAAATGAGGCTTCTCAACGGGGACTCAGAGACTTGGTTGGTGAGGCTGGGATGCAAGGAAGCTTCCAGATAGGAAGAGACAGGCTGGGACATAGGAGAATGCATTTGGCATTAAGTGGGAAAGAACGAGTGTGCTTGCTTCTGTTCCCTGTGTTTGGATTGGCTTTTTAAACAGCACAACCTCCGCTAACCTTAGTTGCAACACTGCACTGAAATGTTACTCCCAGGATTTGACATTTTCTTATTCTTCCTACGACTGTTTTCTCCTTTGTTGCTTTGAAAATATGAATTAATGATGAATACTAATGAGCCCCGTGACAAGCCAACCTCCGTCTAGACACCACTAATATCGGGAGTTTCAAGACTCACGACACTTCTAAGGAGGGAAGATGTAAAGAATCTTTTCCCTGATTTCCAGACTCACATGGCCCCAAAAGTCATTTTCTCCCCCTTTCCTCCCATCCAACTCCTTTCCTTTAAAATTTTTAAAGAATCTTCAAGAAAGCCGCATGAATGAGACTTTGAACTTGTTCATAAGATTTTATGTGTCTACCTGGAGTAGACATTAAATTGCTTTTTTTGTTAAAGTACTGTTGCATTTATGAAAATCTTGCTGGATGCCTTTTTATCACCCTGTTCTTGCTTTTTTTTCTTTTATTGTTTCTTATGTTGTTTCATGGAGCTTGGGGATTTGTGAAGCAGCCAACCAGAGCGAACTGAAGTCATTGATACTGAACACACCGTGACTTCCTAGCTGATGCCAATTTCCCCTCCCCCTCCAATAAAAATAGTCATATTTGTCTGCCTTTGGCATCAAAGACAATTTTTATTGCATGGTCTGTACCATTGTCTCAACATGATGATAGATTTCTGAGCATTAAAATCCAAAGAGAAACTAAGAAAAAATTGTCATATGGAGGATTTTAGAGTAAAGCCGTACAATTGATTTGGGTTCTGTAAACTTAGACAACTTTGCCAGTCCATGTCACTATTTACACCAAAGACATTCTGTGCATTCAGTAGCTATTGTATTAGGGATCAGCTTTCAGGAGCAAACAGAACCTTGCCATTAGGGCTCTTCCTCCACCCTGAGTTCCCTTTCTTGGCTGCACTCCGTGGATCAGAGGGCTGGACATCAACAACTGAGGAAAAAAATGATAAGAGATGGGCACCCAGCAAGACCCTAGTACTCACCAAAGCCATCACAAATTAGTTCCTGACTTCACTGACCTCTGGAAGTGCTCCCATTGAAACAGTAAAAGAAGCTCTGTACTGAAGATGTAGATTCAAATCCTAATTGGCCAGCCGATGTGGCTCACGCTTTTCATCTCAGCACTTTCAGAGGCCGAGGCGGGCAGATCACTTGAAGTCAGGAGTTCAAGACCAGCCTGGCCAACACGAAATCCTGTCTCTACTAAAAATGATAAAATTAGCCAGGCATGGTGGCACTCACGTGTAATCCCAACTACTCAGGAGGCTGAGGCAGAATCACTTGAACCCGGGAGGCAGAGGTTACAGTGAGCTGAGATCATGCTACTGTCCTCCAGTCTGGGCAATAGAGCAAAACTCTGTCTCAAAAAACGAAAACAAAAACACCTAACTAGTATGTGACCTTCAGTCTATTAGCCCTGTGACTCAGTTTACTTATCATAAAATAGGGATACCGTTACAACCTCCTTCTTCTGACTGTCAAAAAGATTAGATACTAGGCCGGGCAGGGTGGCTCACCCCTGTAATCCCAGCACTTTGGGAGGCTGAGGCGGGTGGATCACGAGGTCAAGAGATCAAGACCATCCTGGTCCACATGGTGAAACCCCGTCTCTACTAAAAATACAAAAATTAGCTGGGCATGGTGGGATGCGCCTGTAGTCCCAGCTACTCGAGAGGCTGAGGCAGGAGAATTGCTTGAACCCAGGAGGTGGAGGTTGTGGTGAGCCAAGATCACGCCATTGCACCCCAGTCTGGGTAAAAAGAGTGAAACTCCATCTCAAAACAAAAAAAAAAAAAAAAAAAAGATTAGATACTGAGAATATCTATGAAACTTAGTCTCTGGCTAGTGGTAAGAGCTCAAGTGTCTCTTGCCAGTGTAGATACATATAAGCAAGTCATGTGATAAAGGAACTAAACTTACCCAGTTTCTCCTACTCACTGGAGAAAACATTCTATCTAAGATTCAGCAGGAGTTGGTGACTTTCTTGCCCAGAAATTCCTGCCTGCAGAAACTCTTCAAAATAGTCAGAATTGTTTCCATTTTACTAAAATTGTCTTTAACTTGCTTTCTCATTTCAAGCACAAATTTCACATTTACCACCTCTATGAGTTTTCTAATAATTTCTTCATCAAATCATACGTCACCTATTAGCATATGTATTTATTCGACAACAAATTCACCTAGAACCTCCCAGTTCTAGGTGTGGAGGTAGTGGGCAGTGTTGGGCGGGGATATAGGCTCATAGAAATCACAAGCTGTGAAGCAGTCCCTGTCCTGGAGAAAGTCATGGGCAAATGGGTGCCTCCAGGCACTTAAACAACAATATTAGTGGAAGTTTAGTACAAAGACTATGAGTGTGGTCTCTGAGCCAGACTTTCTGAGATGCAGTCTCTACCACTAAACAGCTGAACGGATCTCTTACCCATCTGTGCCTCACTTTCTTCATCTACGAAATGGACATGAAAATTACACACACTTCATGGAGTTGAATGAGATGATATGTCTAAAACATTTAGAATAATGCCTAATACATTATTATATTATGTAAACTTTATCTTAAAACCTAATGAATGCAAATTATGATTTGGTGTGCTATGGACCAAGCCTCGTGCTAAGATGGGCTTTACATTATCTGTCTCATTTCACCCTTGCAAGGAAATGTACACATCAACCCTGGAGACTATTTGGCCTTGATTGTAAATTGGAGTTAATGAAGTATCTTCCTATAACATTGTCAAAAGGATTCAATGAGTTAATATGTATAGAGTAGTTAGGGCTAGACCAGCACAAAGCAAGGCTTTAGCAAGACAAGCTTACAAAGTATAAATAGCTTGCCTGGATTCACATGGCCAATTGATAAGGGTTGAATCATTATTTAAACACAGGCATGCAATTACTACCTTACCACAGTGACTGACTGAAGGGAATGCACAACCAGACGCAGGTCTATGCAAAGCTTTGTGAAAGCACAAATCCTTCAGTCCTGCCTGGGAGGATCAGGGGAGTTTACACAAAGCAGATGATCCATTCCTTCCTTCCCTTCCTTTCTTCCTTCCTTCCTTCCTTCCTTCCTTCCTTTCCTCGTTCCTTCCTTCCCTCATTCTTCCCTCCCTCCCTTCCTCTTTTTCTATGACAATGGCAGTGGACATTTATTTACTTTGGTTCAGTGCAATAGTAATGACTCAGTATACACTAAAAAAATGTTACAAACTCCTGTGGGTCAAGAGACGTGATCGTTTATCACAAGCCAAGATGTAGTCACATATCACGTGATCACACAGGCTGGTAAGTGGCTTCAGTGGTGGTTGGGCTGAGTCAGCCTGAAGCAAGAGGAAAGCAAATGTGGTTAATTAAGACTGCAGGGAATGTTTAGACTGTGTGCAACCGATACCCTAGCCACCGTCTCCATGTTTTCCTGTAGAAGAAATTTGCATACAACTCAAATATTGCTATGCTTCCTAAAACCGTCCCAGACATTGTCAGGGAAGGAATTGAGAAGAAGGACTTAGCACTTTTAGAATTACCCCAGTTCCACGCTTAAAGAGCCGTGATTGATTAGAAAGGACAAGTAGTAATTCCCGAATTATGCTTCTATTTATACTTCAATTACAACACTGCGAGAAGAAAACAAGATTTGTGTCCCTTCAAGGCCTCTGTAGAACTGGGCTTAGTGTCTCTCACATAGATGATGCCCATAAAGGAATGGTGAACCAAGGGATGAAACAGAGAGAGACTTTATTAAGTATTTGATAGAATGACAGAGATATCTCTTGGCGCTTTAGGGAAAGATCCCAAAATAAAAACACGTAAAGTACAAGTTATCTTTCCTAATGACTAGTAGGGCAGAACCTTTTGGGAAAACACACCCTGGAGCTGTTTTTTAAACTCTAAATAATAGACAATTCACCCTCCTGTTAATTGTTCCTTTAGCTTTCAAAATCAGCCAGTTGGCACAAGACACTAACACATACATACCTCATTAAAGAGATCCTCTGAGTACAGCTCCTAAAGCAAGGGATGCTCCCAAGCAGATTTGGAGTGACAGTAGTTCCACAAGCTCCTCCAAGAAATAAGGGTTCTTGTTCCAGTAAGTAGAGAAATGCTGCAACAATAACCCTTTCTTGGAGATTCACAATGCACACTATTCTGTTAAAGCATCTGCAACAACAGAAAAATGTATTCAATTGTGTTTAACACAATGATGCCCAACTATATTTGGCCATAAAATTCTAAAACATGCATTTATATTTTAAACGTATCTTTTAATTTACATCTATATAATAACTGTGTCTATATATGTGTATATTATATATATATATATATATATATATATATTTTTTTTTTTTTAGACAGAGTCTCACTCCATCACCAGGTGCCAGGCTGGAGTGCAGGGGCGTGACCTTTGCTCACTGCAACCTCCACCTCCCGGGTTCAGGCAATTCTCCTGCCTCAGCCTACCGAGTAGCTGGGACTACAGGCATGTACTACCATGCCCAGCTAATTTTTTTGTATTTTTGGTAGAGACAGGGTTTCACCATGTTGGCCAGGATGGTCTCGATCTGTTGACCTCATGATCCACCCGCCTCGGCCTCCCAAAGTGCTGGGATTACAGGTGTGAGCCACTGCACCCGGCCAACTGTATCTATATCTATAGAGAGATGGATCTGTATCCTGAAGAAATGGTTTCTAATAAAATACACATAACAGAATCCTGGTCTTGATTAGATTGTGTTGGTTGCATTGGATGTGAGCATAGGCTACAGGTGAGTAAGGCCCTGCCCTCCAAGTAAGTAGCTACTGTATGATGTGATGTCTATGGGAGGCTTTAATGGGGAGAAGATAATGTGGTATTGCAGGAAAAAGAAACTCTGGGTACAGGAATTAATGAATATGGAAACATAGTGAAAGTGGAGAAAGACAGCAAAACTTCTGAACTTGTAACACCAGCCTTGCCATGCTTATATGCCCAAAGAGCTGATCTTGAGCCCTGATGGTTAAGAGCTGATTTTGAACCCTGATTTTGAGCAGAATGGCTGAAATCAAGAACTATACTCCTGGCCAGGCACAGTGGCTCTCACTTGTAATTCCAGCACTTTGGGAGGCTGAAGTGGGTGTATCACCTGAGGTCAGGAGTTCAAGACCAGACTGAACAATATGGTGAAACCCTACTTGTACTAAAAATACAAAAATTAGCTGGGCGTGGTGGTGCATGCCTGTAATCCCAGCTACTTGGGAGGCTGAGGCAGAATAATCTCTTGAACCCGGGAGGCGCAGACTGCAGTGAGCCAAGATCATGGCACTGCAATCCAGCCTGGGTGGCAGAGCAAGATTCTGTCTAAAAAATAATAATAAAGAACGAATGAATGAAAGCTGGGTGCAGTGGCTCATGCCTATAATCTCAACACTTCGAGATGTCTAGGTGGGAAAATCACTAGAGTCCAAGAGATAAAGACCAGCCTGGGCAACATGGCAAAATCATGTTTTTACAAAAATTACAAAAATTGGCTGGGCATGGTGGAACATGCCCATAGTCCCAGCTACTCAGAAGGCTGAGGTGGGAAGATCACCTGAACTTAGGGTGGTTGAGGCTGCAGTGAGACATGCTTGAGCCACTGCACTTCAGCCTTGGAGATCCCGGAAAGAAAAGTAAATAAGAAGAGAAAGGAAGGGAAGGGAAAAGTAAATAAAAAAGAAAAGAAAGGAAGAGAAGGGAAAAGGAAGAAGGCAAAGAAAAGAGAGAAAAGAATAAAAGGGCCTACACAACTATGATTCTCTCTGCTCTCCCTTTAACAAATATTTCTGTTCTCTCCAATTGCTTAGCCAATCAGGAGACTCCCTCATCCTTCTGGAAGAAGGGCACTACCACCCTCACTCAAAGAGTTTTCCTGGAACTAAGAAGCTGAACTTGCACGTCATTAAATGCTAAGAGACACTCCTGAGCACAGCCCAGGTATGGATTTCAGATTCAGCATTGCAACACCAGATTCAGTTAGCCCAGCTGACCTCTGCATGCCTCAAAGAATTCAGGTTTAAAGGGTTTATCCCCGAATCTCATGGCTAAACCTCATCCTCATTTGTACTGTTAAAGTGTTCCCAGAATGTCCTCTCACATGCCCATATCAGAAGGCATGACCTTGGTGCTACAGTTGAGAAGGTCTTGGGTGGATTTTCCAGAAGAGTTAGACCTCATGAGGTGAGATGTTCAAAGTCATGGAAAGAAAGGTTGAAGGAAACAGAGACACTGGCCTACAGCAGACAAGCTTTGTGGAACGTGTCAGCAAAGTTTCCAAGTCCCCACGGTACTAAACTGTAGAACAGGAGTGAGATGGATTATCTGTAACCCTAATTAGATATTAGAAACAAGTCAATTTTGACTCAAGAACAAGGAAGAATGTTTAATAGGGAGTGGCCAAAGACAGGATAAGGTGATGCCTCTGTTGGTAGTAAGCTCCCCATCAAAGAAAGTCAGAACACAGAGGCTGTATGACGACTGGGTGAGAAAGCACCTTAGAAATAATTCAAGTATCAGATGAAAGAGTGACTAGGAATGTCTCTAAGATTCCTTTCTACACACTCACATTTCCCTCTTCTTTATTCTCCCCATGACAGAGAAGTCTCTTTGAAATAAGACCAATGGCATTAATGCTGGTCCGTAAAGACCCTGCCCTCTGCACGGGCTGTGTCCTTAGCTATTTGGAATAGCATAGAGTAGACATGAAATCTGTCGCCGGTCACAGCAGGATGGAAACAGGGGGACAAGTGCTTCTAGGCGAGCCTTCTAACCCTCCTCTTTGGTCTTTGTCCATCACGCCCCTGATCACCAGGTAGCTTAGACAGCCTGCTGAAAAGAATTCAGAGGCTCTCAAGCTCCCAGCAGGAAAACCTTGAAGCCCTGTTGTTGGAAATAGCTCCCAACCTGCATCTCAGGCAGGTATTTTTAGGTTCTGTCTTGAAGACATAGAAACTTTCATACATTTCAGCTTCTTTGTCTTGAGTCACTGAAACCCCAGACATGTCATTGAAAGCGGGTATAATTGTGGTCTCCTCCACCCACCAATCTGAGCAAGTCTGAAAGAGCTTCCTGCTGTGCAGCAGGGAGGATGGAGAGCCTTTTCTGGCAAGGGAAAGTCAAAATGGATTTTTTAAAATAATAATATGTTGATCAAGAAGAGAAAAAAGTATCTATTGAGGAGAGGGGGCTCTGCTTTGGGGCTGATCTGAGAGGAAGGTTACCTATTATTTTGAAACCTTGTCTTAGTTCTCCCTTGCAAGTATAGAATTCAAGCTTGGAGGAGCTAACGTCTCCTACTTGAGAATAGGAAATACAGATGTTTGGAATGATCTGAGTTAGATCGGTGGCTGTTATTAATATGAGGTTCTCTGAGGAATAATTATAATTGTCAATCACTGGGCATAGTCTGACATTAGAAGGAGAAATAGAAAAGAAACCAAAATGATGCACGGCACACATAAAATGGCAAAGCACATTCTGATAGTGCGGAGGAGCTGGTCAAAGGGCTGTTTGAGTTCCTGAGAGAGTTTGGCAACCATATTACCACGGTCAGGTCAACAAAGGTGAGAGGGCTATGATTTCTGGGACTCCGGGAGACGTGTCTCAAGGGCCGATGTTTTAACTACAGGGCAATTGATCCCAAGTGTCTGATGGCACACTAAGTGCCTGCAGTCCACGTGACCATGAACAACAACGTTAATCAAATCACTCACAATTAGGTTGCACCCTCTCTCTCATCAGTAGGTTTTGGTATCAGACAGCAAAGTTGATTGAGGTGAAGAATGTGTGTGGAGTTGCGTTAATGAAATAGACACTAGACCAGGCGTCCCCAAACTACGGCCTGCGGGCCGCATGCGGCCCCCTGAGGCCATTTATCCGGCCCCCACTGCACTTCAGGAAGGGGCACCTCTTTCATTGGTGGTCAGTGAGAGGAGCACGGTATGTGGCGGCCCTCCAACGGTCTGAGGGACAGTGAACTGGCCCCCTGCGTAAAAAGTTTGGGGACGCCTGCACTAGACCTTTCTCATAGGAATAAAATAGTAAAGCACTTCCCCCACAGGATTCAGAAAAGCGATCACACATCATCAGTTTTCTAACTTGATTAGAAAGCAAACACCTACTCCTGGAGTGGGATTTAAGGAGGCTTACAGAACAAGGGTGTCCTACATGTTTTCCCTCAGTCTCTCCTCTATGAGAAACCAGAGTCTGATACAGAAGCAGCAAGATCATTTGCAGGTCCCAGAGCAAGAGGAAAACGCAGAGCCCCTTGTTCAAAACTTATTAAACATTTCAAGGGCCAGGTGCAGTGGCTTTCTTCTGTAATAACACTTTGGGAGGCAGAGGCAGGAGGATTGCTTGAGCTCAAGAGCTCAAGAGTTCAAGACCAACCTGGGTAACATAGTGAGACTCCATCTCTCAAAAAAACTTTAAAAAATTACCTTGGCATGGTGTCATGCACCTATAGTCCCAGCTACTTAGGAGGCTGAAATGGGAGGATCACTTGGACCTGGGAGATTAAGGCTGTAGTGGGCTATGATTATACCACTGCCTTCTAGCCTGGGTGACAGATGGAGGCCTGAATCCTCCAAACTATTTCTGATGGGCGTCTCCCCTGCAACCCCCAACATACAAAGAGAATTTCAAGATGTGGTGTCAACAACAGGGCATTAAGCCAAATGCAAGGCCCTTTTGGGAGCAGGACTTTGGGTAGTGACATGGGTCACTTGCTTATGAAGCCACCTGTGATCACAGTAAATCCGTCTGATGGTCTCTGAGATCAGGAGCACTAGGAGATGTGAGGCCTTGTTCAAATCACAAAGAGACCTTGTAGGTGTTATTGGAACAACTGGTAAGGAAAAGTCAAAATGGGCTTTTAAAATAACAGTATGTTGATCAATAAAAGAAAAAAAAATCTGTTAAGGGAAGAAGCTCTGAATTTGGTCACTTGAGCCCAATGGTTGTGTTTGTAAAATTGCTCAATGCTCAATATTTTCTACACAGCATTGAATACAGAAATCACCTGATCCTAGTCAAGCTTCCTATTTCACACACACACACACACACACACAACACACACACACACACACACACACACACACACACACACACACACATACCCACATACCCCTAATATTTGCTGAAAACAAACAGTGATAGGTTTGGTACTAAAAGCTTTTATTTGCTCTTCACAATGACCCTATAAAGAATGAAACATTATAATCTTTATTTTTGAAATTTTAGATTCAGGGGGTACATGCAGAGGTTTGTTACATGGATATATTGCATAACGATGAGGTCTGAGCTTCTAGGGTGCCCATCATCCAAACAGTAAACACTGTACCAAACAGGTAATTTTTTAATCCTTGCTCCTCTCCCCACTTACCCCTTTGGGGTCCCTAGTGTCTATTATTTTCATCCTTATGTCATGTAAATTGTTTAGTTCTCACTCATAAGTAGGAACATATATTATTTCAGTTTCTTTTTCTGAGTTATTTCACTTAGGCAATAACTAAGATTATTATAATAACTAGGTTATTATCTTAATAACTAAGATTAGGATAATGGCCTCCAGCTTCATCCATGTTGTGGCAAAGGATGTGATTTCATTCTTTTTATGGCTGCATAGTATTCCATGGTGTACATGTACCATATTTTCTTTATGTAATCCACCACTGATGGATACTTAGATTGATTCCATGACTGCTATTGTGAATAGTGCTACAATGAACATGAGGGTGCAGGTATCTTTTTTATATAATTGATACGGTTTGGTTCTGTGTCCCCACTCAAATCTCACCTTGAATTGTACTCCCATAAATTCCACATGTTGTGGGAGAGACCTGGTGGGAGATTGTTTGAATCATGGGGTTGGTTTCCCCTAAACTATTCTCATGGTAGTGAATAAGTCTCATGAGATCTGATGGTTTATCAGGGGTTCCACTCTTGCATTTTTCTCATTTTCTCTTGCTGCTGCCATGTAAGAAGTGCCTTTCACCTCCCACCATGATTCTGAGGCCTCCCCAGCCATGTGGAACTGTAAGTCCAATTAAACCTCTTTTTCTCCCCAGTCTCAGGTATGTCTTTGTCAGCATTGTAAAAATGGACTAATACAGTAAATTGGTACCAGTAGAGTGGGGTGTGGCTGAAAAGACACCCGAAAATGTGGAAGCAACTTTGGAACTGGTAACAGGCAGATATTGGAACAGTTTGGAGGGCTCGGAAAAGGAAAATGTGGGAAAGTTGGAAACTTTCTGGAGGCTTGCTGAATGGCTTTGACAAAAACACTGATAATCATATGGACAACGAAATCCAGGCTGACATGGTCTCAGATAGAGATGAGAAACTTATTGGGAACTGGAGCAAAGGTGACTCTTGTTATGTTTTAGCAAAGAGACTGGTGGTATTCTGCCCCTGCCCTAGAGACCTGTGGAACTTGGAACTTAAGAGAGATGATTTAGGGTATTTGATATAAGAAATTTATAAGTGGCAAAGCATTCAATAGGTGACTTTGGTGCTGTCAAAGGCATTCGGTTTTTTATGCTTTCTTTTTTGGTCTTTTTGTTTTTTTCCTTTTTGTGGAAAATGGGGTCTTGCTATATTGCCGAGGCAAGTCTCAAACTCCTGGGCTCAAGCTATCCTCCTGCCTCTGCCTCCCTAAGAGCTGGGATTACAGGTGTGAGCCACAGCACCCAGCAAAGGCATTCAGTTTTAAAAGGGAAGCAGAGCATAAAAGATCAGAAAAGTTGCAGCCGGACAATGCAATAGGAAAGAAAAATCCATTTTCTGAGAAGTTCAAGCCGGCTGCAGAAATTTGCATAAGGAGCTGGATATTAATCCCCAAGACAGTGGGGAAAATGTCTGCAGGGCATGTCAGAGGTCTTCACAGCAGCCCCTCCCATCACAGGCCTGAAGGCTTAGGAGGAAAAAGTGGTTTCGTTGGTTGGGCCCAGGGTCCCCCTGCTGTATGCAGCCTAGGGACTTGGTGTCCTGCATCCCAGCCACTCCAGCCATGGACTAAAAGGAGCCAAGGTAAGCTTAGGCTGTTGCTTGAGAGGGTGCAAGCCCCAAGCCTGGGCAGCTTTCACATGGCATTGAGCTTGCAGGTGCATAGAAGTCAGGAATTGAGGTTTGGGAAGCACTGCCTAGATTTCAGAAGATGTATGGAAATGCCTGGATGCTCAGGCAAAAGTTTGCTGCAGGGGCAGGGCCTGCATAGAGAACCTCTGCTAGGACAGTGGAAAAGGGAAATGTGGGATCAGAGCCCCCACAGAGAGTCCCTATTGGGGCACTGTCTGGTGAAACTGTAAGACAAGGGCCACCATCCTCCAGGCCCCAGAATGGGAGATCTACTGACAGCTTTCACTGTGTACCTGGACAAGCTGCAGACACTCAAAGCCAGCCCATGAAAGCAGCCAGGAGTAGGACTATACTTGCAAAGCCACAGGGATGGAGCTGCCCAAGGCCATGGAAACCCGCTTCTTACATCAGTGTGACCCAGATGTAAGACCTGGAGTCAAAGGAGATCATTTTGGAGCTTTAAAATTTGACTGGATTTCATACTTACCTTGAAACTCTTGAGTTAGCCCCTGCAACTCTTGTTTTGGCTAACTTTTCCCCTGTGGAAGTGCTGTATTTATCTAATACCTGTACCCCCATTTTATATAGGAAGTCAATAGCGTGCTTTTGACTTTTTGCCTTGTCTCAGAGGAGACTTTGGACTGTGGACTTCTGGGTTAGGGCCGAAATGAGTTAAGACTTTGGGGGACCATTGGGAAGGCATGATTGGTTTTGCAATGCGAGGGCATGAGATTTAGAGGGGTGGAATGATATAGTTCGGCTCTGTGTCCTCACCCAAATCTCATCTTGGATTGTACTTCCATAATTCTCATGTGTTATGGGAGGGACCTGGTGAGAGATAATTTGAATCACAGGGGTGGTTCCCCCATACTATTCTCATAGTAGGGAATAAGTCTCACAAGATCTGATGGTTTTATCATGGGTTCCTACTTTTGCATCCTTCTCATTCTCTCTTGCCACCACCATGCTAGAAGTGTCATTAGCCTCCCACCATGATTCTGATGCCTCCCCAGCCATGTGAAATTCTAAGTCCAATTAAACCTCTTTTTCCTCCCAGTCTCTGGTATGTCTTTATCAGTAGTGTGCAAGGGACTAACACAATAATGGTTTCTTTTTCTTTGCATAGATGCCCAGTAATGGTGCTGCTAGGTTGAATGGTAGTTCTGTTTTTAGTTCCTTGAGAATTCTCCACACCGTTTTCCACATTATCCCGATTTTAAAGCTAAGGGAGCTGAGGCTTCATGGGATTAGCTATCTGACTCAAGGGTTTGTAACTGCTGCATGGACACAGCCAGAACTCTGAGTTCTGACCTGGATTTTTTTTTTTTTTTTTGAGACAGAGTTTTGCTTTGTTGGCCAGGCTGGAGCGCAGTGGTGCAATCTCATCTCACTTCAGCCTCTGCCTTCAGATTCAAGCCATTCCCCTGCCTCAGCCTCAGAAGTAGCTGGGATTACAGGCACACACTACAGTGCCCTGCAAATTTTTGTATTTTTAGTAGAGACAAGGTTTCACCATGTAGGCCATGCTGGTCTCAAACTCCTGACCTCAAGGGATTTGCCTGCCTCTGCTTTCCAAAGTGCTGGGATTACAGGCATGAACCACTGTGCCTGACCTGACCTGGATTCTTAACCATGAGGCCACACTCCCTTCTTTGGAATGCACTGTCTCACTATCTTTTTCTTACACTGTGGAGACACCTGTCCCATTTGACAATGAAGGGAAGAGAGGTCAAGGTGCTCTGAAAATTACTTGGAAAATTACTAAGAGAATCAGGTCCAACAATAACCCTGGCTCATGGCTCCTTAATTGAACAAAGGAAAGAAAAAAGAGAATGGCCCCAAACACCCTTCAGCACTCATACAGCCACTCGGCTGAGGACCGAGGCTGGCAAGACATCAGTAGGTCACATGCCCCACACCTCCTGGCAGGGTAGGCACTGAGCCAGGCAGACTGACCCCAAGAGAAACAAATGGAAAAGCCTGAGGGAAAAACCCACAACACAAATACCTGTAAAATCTTTTTAGGTTCAAACTGTGTTTTGCAATAGTCAGGAAAAGAAAGAGAGAGAGAAAGGAAGGAAAGAAGGAAGGAAGAAAAGAAGGAAGGAAGAAAGGAAAAAGAAAGAAAGAAAGAAGGAAAGAAGAAAAAAGACCTGGCTGAAGCAGATTGTAAAACTGTAAAGGAAAAGTTAATTAAATCATAACTTAGTTGCTAAGAAAGCTTTGCTCCCAGTTAAAGGAAATCATTCCTACAACTGGAAGCAAAAGTTGTACAGAGCAAGGAAATATGGTCCAGCTTATTTGAACATTTCTTCCCCATTTTCTGCCCTGATGGGAAATATCGGGAAATAAGAGGGTATAATGAAAAGAAGTCTGGGGATCCTGTCACCCCAGGATTCACAAGCAGCTCTTTCATAAATGGAACTGCTGATCACTCAGTACTGAGCCCATGCTGACTCAGCCTTCGCATGAAGAAGGAAGGATCTCTTCAGAGGCAAGTCTGAAACCAGGAGATTGACTTGCGAGCACAGCATTTCAGCACCTACCAGGCGTGAGAAGTCTTCTCCACTGCTTTGCTGGAACATCTGTCTGCTTTGGCCATCTCTGTCAATCCCAAAGAGCTTCTCAAAAACAGGAATTATTGTTCCATTTGTTGTGGTGTCCTTTAGTGCTTTATCTGGCACATATGAGGCTCAGTAAGTTGAACTGGTGACAGCTGGGTTTGTGGAGGAAGGTGCTTATTTGGGATCCAATTATTTTTCTTTACATCTTACTCTATATATTTTGACTCCCACTAATAGGCTGAGAAGAGCTATTAAAGATATTTACTGACATTGCCACTTTAATAAAACTTTATACAATATATAAAATAAAAAGAAATATTTGCTTTATCTGTTTTTCCCGTATCTCCTGATTGTGGATGCCTGGGAGGAGAGACGTACTCATGGATAGACCAGCAGTATCCTTCACTGATAGCGGTTTCTGAAATACTTTTTTATTCTGAGACAGTCTCACGCTGGAGTGCACAGCTCACTGCAGCCTCAACCTCCTGGGCTCAAGCGATGCTCCCACCTTGGCTTCCCAAAGTGCTGGGATTACAGGCACGAGCCACCATACCCAGCAACTTCTGAAATATTAAGAACGGAGCGAGTGCGCGATCCTCCTCGCCCGCCGCTAGGTCCAGCCCGGCCCAGCCACCATGTCCATCCACTTCAGCTCTCGGCTGCTCAGCTCACGCTCCGCGGGCTTCTCCGGCCACTGCGCCCAGGCTCGCCTGAGCTCCGCGCGCCCCGGCGGCTTCTGCAGCAGCACCCTCTAGGGCCTGGGCGCCTCGTGGCCTCGCGTGGCCATGCGCTCCGCCTATGGGGGCCCGCTCGGCGCCGGCATCCGCGAGGTCACCATCAACCAGAACCTGCTGGCCCCGCTGCGGCTGGACGCTGACCCCTGCCTCCAGCGAGTGCTCCAGGAGGAACGTGAGCAGATCAAGACCCTCAACAACAAGTTCGCCTCCTTCATCGACAAGGTGCGCGTTTTCTGGAGCAGCAGAACAAGCTGCTGGAGACCAAGTGGGCGCTGCTGCAGGAGCAGAAGTCTGCCAAGAGCAGCCGCCTCCCAGACATCTTTGAGGCCCAGATTGCTAGCCTTAGAGGGCAGCTTGAGGAGCTGCAGGTGGATGGGGGCCGCCTGGAGGCGGAGCTGCGGAGCATGCAGGATGTGGTGGAGGACTTCAAGAATAAGTATGAAGATGAAATTAACCGCCGCACAGCTGCTGAGAATGAGTTTGTGGTGCCGAAGAAGGATGTGGATGCTGCCTACGTGAGCAAGGTGGAGCTGGAGGCCAAGGTGGTCGCCCTGAGTGATGAGATCAACTTCCTCAGGACCCTCCATTAAATGGAGTGACAGAGCTGCAGTCCCAGATCGCGGACACGTCTGTGGTGCTGTCCATGGACAACAGTCGCTCCCTGGACCTGGACGGCGTCATCGCTGAGGTCAAGGCTCAGTATGAGGAGATGGTCAAATGCAGCCGGGCTGAGGCTGAGGCCTGATACCAGACCAAGTTTGAGACCCTCCAGGTCCAGACTGGGAAGCACGGGGACGACCTCCGGAATACCCGGAATGAGATTGCAGAGATGAACCGGGCCATCCAGAGGCTGCAGGCTGAGATCGACGCCATCAAGAACCAGCGTACCAAGTTGGAGGCCGCCATTGCTGAGGCTGAGGAGCGAGGGGAGCTGGCACTCAAGGATGCTCGTGCCAAGCAGGAGGAGCTGGAGGCCGCCCTGCAGCGGACCAAGCAGGACATGGCATGGCAGCTGCGTGAGTACCAGGAGCTGATGAGCGTTAAGCTGGCCCTGGACCTCGAGATTGCCACGTACCACAAGTTGCTGGAGGGCGAGGAGAGCCGGTTGGCCGGAGATGGTGTGGGAGCCGTGAATATCTCCGTGGTGAATTCCACTGGAGGCAGTGGCAATGGCAGTGGTGGTGCCATTGGGCTGAGCTTTGGGGGAACCATGGGCAGCAATGCCCTGAGCTTCTCCAGCAGTGTGGGTCCTGGGCCCCTGAAGGCTTATTCCATCTGGACCACATCCACCAGCCGAAAGAGCGCCCGCAGCTGAGCTGCTTCCCACCCCTCCATTCCCCCAGCCACTACCCACAGTCCCAGAAGATTCCCCTCCCTGCCTCCCATGCCTGTTCCCAAGACCGAGAGACAGGCTCGAAAGTGATGTCAGAATAGCGTCCAATAAAGCAGCCTCGTTCTGAGATCTGAAAAAAAAAGAAAAGAAATATTAAGAATGGCTCTTTAGAGGCCATAATCATTCTTTGCAATGTGTGTTTTAAATAATCCCTTAAAATGAAATATAGTAAAGAAGAGTAAATGCCACCAACACCATTAAAGTCTCAAAATACTTAGAAGATGTTGAGTAAAACCTATACCCTAATCTTTAGTGTCATTTAATGCCCTGACATTTGTATCTATTCCTGTTCATCCCTACAAAGTTTCTGGTTTCATTTCAGCCATGGCTTTGTATTAAGTATCCTGTATGCAAGGGGATGGTTCTACTTTCCCGGGTTGGTGGGTCTCTGCTACTAAAGGTGAGTTTCTCAGCACTCGAACTTAGAGATTCCAACTGAGTTGTACCCTTTGGGCTGATTCTGACTCGCCAGACACTTTCAGCTATGAAGACAGCCAGGGAAAATGAGAAGCAGCATCTGAAAAGATGGCTGGTTTCACCCCATCATACACAGCCTCCCCCAACAAGTGACTGGTAGATCCCCCCAACCTTTATTCTTCAATTCAAGTTGGGGAGGATCAGAACAAAAGGGAAAGAAAACGGGGGAGCCCGAAGAGAGAGCAGCCCAGAGCGCATGAGTAAATGTCAGGTTGTATGGGAGAGTTATAATTAAAGTCCAAGATGACAGATAACTATAAAATCAGATTGGTTCCTTTCCACATGGAAGGAAAACATAATGTTGTCGCCCAACCCAAGCTTTTTTGTAAATTGAAATTACAGTTTTATTTGGAGCTATTTTTAAAGGTCCATTAATTAAAAATTGGAAGTCATGCCAATGCAAGAAATACCATAAAAGGTGTTAGATTTAATGATCACCAAGGACTATAATTAAAAGATGATGTTCTCTGAATATCAAGCGCTCTAAATCCATGTTTGTGTTTTATTGAAAAATAAACAAATTCGGGAGCAAAGAAAAAAATAGAAAAAATATGTGCAAAATGTAATGATAATGGTTGACTTCTAAACAGCCAAGGAAATTATAGTCATCATGTGTGGGAAAAGAACAAACACCTCTTAATTGCATTTCATTATAACGTACCTTTCTCTGCTCAGTTGTATATATTAATTATAAAAATCGTGTTGCAGAGTGGAGAGGCTCTACAATAGTTTTTCCCCCGTCCTCCCTTAATTCTGTCTGAAGCAGGATGGAAGAACAATATCATCTGTCATCTGCAGAAAGAGCTTTCAAAGACAAAATCATAAAAAGAATGAAAGGCTATTATATAAAAAAGAAAAAAAATGCTTTGATTTCACAGATTTTCCATTTATTAATGTTTAAGTTTATCTGTTCTTTTAGCAAAGTATCTTCTCATATTGTTTTGTATGTGTATGTTCAGGTAACATCACTTTCTGATAACTGTATCACATGGCATATGCATTACATAGATAATTGTTCGTGGAAGGAGGGAGTGGATAGGAAGAAGTATTATTATGGAAAGATGCCATGCAGGACTTGAAGGACTTGAAGAATTTTCTTTTCTTTTTTTTTTTTTTTTTTTTTTTTTTTGAGATGGAGTTTCGCTCTTGTTACCCAGGCTGGAGTGCAATGGCGTGATCTTGGCTCACCGAAACCTCCGCCTCCTGGGTTCAGGCAATTCTCCTGCCTCAGCCTCCTGAGTAACTGGGATTACAGACATGTGCCACCATGCCCAGCTAATTTTTTTTAGTATTTTTAGTAGAGACGGGGTTTCACCATGTTGACCAGGATGGTCTCGATCTCTTGACCTCGTGATCCACCCGCCTCGGCCTCCCAAAGTGCTGGGATTACAGGCTTGAGCGACCTCGCCTGGCTTCTTTTTTTTTTATTGTACTTTAGGTTCTGGGGTACATGTGCAGATCATGCAGGGTTGTTGCATAGGTACGTGCATGGTAAGGTGGTTTGCTGCCTCCATCACCATCACCTATATTTGGCACTTCTCCCCACGTTATCCCTCCTCACCCTCCCTATCCCCTACTGTCCCTCCCCTAGACTCCCCCAACTGACCCCAGTGTGTGATGCTCCCCTCCCTGTGTCCAAGTATTCTCATTGTTCAATACCCGCCTAACAGTGAGAACATGCAGTGTTTGATTTTCTGTTCTTGTGTCAGTTTGCTGAGAATGATGGTTTCCAGAGTCATCTAAGTCCCTACAAAGGACACAAACTCGTCGATTTTTATGGCTGCATAGTATTCCATGCCACATTTTCTTTGTCCAGTCTATTCTTGATGGGCATTTGGGTTGGTCCCAGGTCTTTGCTATTGTAAACAGTGCCACAATGAACATACGTATGCATGTGTCTTTATAGTAGAACGATTTATAATCCTTTCTGTATATAGTAAGTAATGAGATTGCTGGATCAAATGGAATTTCTATTTCTAGGTCCTCAAGGAATCGCCACACTATCTCCCACAATGGTTGAACTAATTTACACTCCCACCAACAGTGTAAAAGTGTTCCTGTTTCTCCACATCCTCTCCAGCGTCTGTTGTCTCCTGATTTTTTAATGATCGCCATTCTAACTGGAGTGAGACAATAGCTCAATGTGGTTTGAATGTGCATTTCTCTAATGACCAGTGACAATGAGCATTTTTTCATATGTTTCTTGGCCTCATCTATGTCTGACTTGAAGAATTTTCCAAGGTGAGTCAAAATAAGAAAGTGGTGGATTGGATTTGAGGCCAATGTTTCTTATTGACAGGCTGCTGTTTACCTGTACTTAGGAAAATGATGGAAGTAATGCACTATGTACAATAAGAAAGGCCCCAGTTAGGGACTCCAAGGACCCCAAGACTGCCAGCGTTCGAGATGACGGAACGTTGTTGTTGTAAGCCAAGGTGGCCTTAGGAATTCTGCTTTATCAGAAATCTGCAGAAACAGGTGAGATCCATCTGTTTGGCAAGGGTTAATAATGTAGGATTCCAGAGAGAGCTTGGGATCTAACCTGGGCTTTTAGGAGATGTGTGTGCATAATTGCAGTTTTCTGGGCGGAGGTCCATAAATTACCAGATTCTTGGCTGCATCTGTAACCCAGAAAGGCTTAAGTAAGAACTGCTGCTCCAGGCCTTGGGTGCTCAATGTGTGGTCCCTGGACCAGCAGCATAGGCATCACCTGGGAGCTTATGGAAATGCAGAATCTCAGGCTCCACCCTAGATCTGTAGAATTAACACTGATGTTTCAGCAAGCTCCCTGGGCGATTCACATGTGCTTGAAAGTGTGAGATGTGTTTATTTTAACGACGCCATGAAGCGAATCCACATTCATGGCTGTGTTTTTTTATCCGTGTCTGTGAATCACGGAGACTCAGGTTCAACTCCAGGCTCAGCTGTGTGATCTTAGCCCTTAAGAAAGTAGCAAAAATCAATACTTTCCTCATATGTCTGTTATGAAAATTAAATGAGATCATGTGTGAAAAGCATTGAACAGACTGGCACATAGCCCTCTATAATAATTATTATTCTTACACATTTCCTGGATTTTGTCAGATTCTGGAAAGTATTCACGATATCAAAAATGTCATGATCTACAAGTCTAGAGAAGTGGTTCTCAACCAGAGACAATTTTGCTCCTGAAGCACATTTGGCAATGTCTAGAGACGTTCTGGATTGCCATACCTAGGGGTCAGAGACTGGCCACTCATGAGTAGAGAGCAGGGGGACTGCTGAACACCCTGCACTACACAGGATAGCCTCTACACAAAGAATTACCTGGCCCCAAAGAGTCAATAGTGCTGAGACGGAAGAACTCAGGTCAAAAAAACAAGGGAATGAAAAATGTACTTGATTAGGTCTTTGAGCCAGCATCCAGTTTCTAGGAGTACTTGAGAGGTTACTTGTCAATTTAACTTTGAAACTACAAATGCAACATAGAAGTGCCACTTTTTAATATGCCAAAATTCTCAGTAAGGCTGCTACAGGAATTTTACAAGGAAGGCAAGCAGTGACTGATCAACCTATGGAAATTAGGTCCCCCTCATCCCATCCTGCCATCCATACCTCAGCACCTTGTTCATTTTCTTTGGCGAACTCCTCGTGCTCAGTAATTATTGTGAACTTCATCTGTGCACAATTCTGCTCTGCCTTAATAGAAAATATTAATGGGAGATTTCTTACGTGCATGTAACCTGATACCCCCATGCTTGGCACAGATGGGAGAAGCATTTGTTTAATGAGCAACTTTATGCTGGGCTTGCCTCTAGGATATTGGTGAGACACATTAATATACATGTTCCTCTGGTCCCTCTATCTCTTTAAAAACTTGAGGTCAGGCACAGTGGCTCAGAGCTGTAATCCCAGAACTTTGGGAGGCCAAGACAGGTGGATCACTTGAGGACAGGAGTTTGAGACCAGCTTGGTTAACACGGCGAAACCTCATCTCTCTAAAAATTCAAAAATTGGTCGGGCATCATGGCTCACATCTGTATTCCCAGATACTCAGGTGGCTGAGGCAGGAGAATCCTTTGAACCCCTGAAGCGAAGATTGCAGTGAGCCAAGATTGTACAACTGCACTCTAGCCTGAGCAACAGAGCAAGACTCTGTCTCAAAACATAAAAGTAAAAAACAAAAATAAATAAAAACTTGAGACAAAACTAGAATAAAACATTGAGTTTGGGGTTACTTTAGATCTCCTAAGGATTCCCAGAAATTAGATGAAATAAAATAGAGGAAAATAAGCAGATGCATTTTCCACCCATGAGCAGAACAGTGGCACGGTAAAGACAGCAGGCTTTAACAATTATTTTTTTAAAAAGAAAGATGATGGACTCTGGGTATAGGCAGAACTGCATCCACATTAGCTTCAATATTTACTATGTGACTTTAGGTTTTGTTTTGTTTTTGAGACAAGGTCTCGCTCTGTCACTCAGACTAGAGTGCAGTGGTGCAATCTTGGCTCACAGCAACCTCTGCCTCCCAGGCTCAAGCGTTTCTCCTGCCTCAACCTCTGGAGTAGCTGGGATTACAGGTGCACACCACTACCGCCTAGCCAATTTTTGTATTTTTAATAGAGGTGGGGGTTCTCCATGTTGGTCAGGCTAGTCCTGAACTCCTGACCACAAATGACCCACCCGCCTCAGTCTCCCAAAGTGCTGGCATGGTGCCCAACCACTCTGTGACTTTACAAGTTACTCAACAGTTCAAACGGGGCTAATCATTAGAATGACTTCGAAAGGTATTCTGAGAGCATGATCGTACAGCTAGACGATATTCTGAGAAGATAATCGTACGGCAAATATTCAACACACACTGACCACAGCACCGCTATGTGTAGAGCACCGTGCCAGGTGTTGGCACATATGAACCATTTGGCACGGTACCTGCTATAGCATGAATATGTGGCACAAGCCACAGTTAATACATACGCTGTGCTCACACTGCTCTCATGTGCTCTCACAGACAAGCTGGATTCATGAAGGAAACCCAGGAATCCCCGCAGGGATGCCTGCCTTTTGCAGCTTGTCACCACCACTTGGGCAAGATTAGTGGTGACTTGAGGATTGCGCCATCTTGGTGCCCACTGGTGTTTGGCTTAGTGAAAAGAATCAAAGGATGGTTAAAAATAGTTGAAGTCAGCAAATTAAAGTGTCCTTTGTCAACTCTTTAAAATTAGGTAGGAAGGACACATCAAAGTAGTCTGGGAAAATAAATTACTGCCTTCGGAAATGGAAGAGAAGTGTTTGTGCAAGATTTATCACCGTGAGCAACACGATGTCTGAAAAGTAGACCCAACCTAAATATCCAGAGTATCATTTGGGAAATTAGGGAAGTTGGTGAAATGAATTTTTTTTTTTGCTTTAAAAAATACTAAAATTACATAAATCTATGGAAAATATACAGGAATGTTTGTGTACATAATGCCTATGTGAAAATACAGCTCTATGATCTAGTTATTCATAATAAAATGTAAGACACGAATAAAGTTATATCCAGCTGGGAGATGATGTGCTCTATTCATTTTTTATTCAAAATTTTCTTTAATCCTGCTGAAACCTTTTTCTAATTAAGAATAATAACATCAATAATAATAATTGAATATTTTAGGGTTAGCTGGATTAATAAGAATTTTTCTATTTTGGAAAAAAGAAAACCTCTAAAAAATATTCCAGAAGGAGAGAAATAAATAAAGACACATTGAAAAAATTAAATATGGCCAGTGGGTAAACTGTAATTCCCTAGTGCCTAACAGTTAGAAACAGAATGTTATGCATATGGTCATTTGCATGCTTAACTACAGAGAGAGAAGCAGGTACTCTGGAGAAGGCAAAAAGGGAAAGGTTGTACTTTGAAGCAGGAATTTACCAAGTAAGTTTTAATCTCTCCTCAAACTTAAGTCCACTTTGTACAACCAAATCCTGGACTATGACCACCACTCAACACAGCTAATCAAAATGTTCAGATACTCTTGTTTTGGGTTCAGCAAGACCTGTTTCTAAATCCCTGTGTCACCTCTTCTTTGCTGTTTGACTTTGGGCAAAGTGTTTGATGTCTCTGAACTCCTATTTCCTCAACTGTAAAATGAAAAAAAAAATTCGTCTTCCACAAGGCTGCTTTGAGCATCCAGTGATACGGCTAAAACACTTAACACCAATAACTGCTCAATCAGCATCTGTTAATTACACTATGATTATAACCATTCTAATATGTTCTCACGCTCCATTTTATTCCTGTCTAGGAGTCAAGTAATGGGCCAGGCTGCTTGGGGTGTTGGGATGAAGGTCTCCTTTTTGGCTTTATCTTCCATGCCAAAACTCAAACTCCAACCTGTGAGTTTCTTCCATTGCTAATTGCTGCTCCCCACACTGTGACAGCTGTGTCTTTCCTGTTTGGTGGCTGATGAATCAATCAAAAGACGCTTTTGTAAAGTAGTGATTTGGGAGTTGCTTAAGTGCCTGATAGAATGTGTGACACTGACATGGGGACTATGTTTACCACAGCATGTTCTCAGAGAGTGCCAAACAGGTGCCCAGCCCAAACCTACTCAGGGTCATTGTGCAGCAAGTTGGTAAATGCCTAATCAGTCCTAGTTCTAGTTTCTATGGTAATGGTGGTTTGAAGGCCAGTACTGCAACAATCTTATTTGCAGATATCTGCAGCATGGCTTTTAATCCCCGAACAGTGCTGTTTTCCCCTTGTTCTCTCTCTGAAAATCATTCCTGTTCAAAACTTATCTGATTCCTATCCTGTACCATCAAAACTCTGTTCTCTACACAGCAGATTGAAATCTCTGAGTACAGTACATTTCTGGTAAGGACTCAATATCTGCTAACAGTGTATGGAGCAATGTGTCTGAAAAAAAACACAAGGGTTTTAAAGTGGGATTCCACCAAATTCACCATAATTCAAGTCAACTATTAAGTGCCTACTGGGTGCTGAGCCCAGTTCTAGAGGCTCCTGGCAAGATGAAGAAGGGAAA